CCCACATACACACACACACACCACCCCAAATCTAACAAAAAAAACAACATCCTCCCCCCCCCAAAAAAAAACAAAAAAAACCCTTAAAAAAGAATCAAACTTACGAGGTATTGCAGCTCCATATCTGTCCGGGTACTCTCTAATGATCCTCTCTTTGAGTGACCGCTTGCCCACACCTGAGGCTCCGACAAGCACCAGCGATGACCGGTGTTTCTTTGACCGCTCCACCATCTCATACACCTTGATGTCACAGTTGTCAAATTCTGTGACGACAAAAAGCAGCAATTGCCAAGTGCTGATTAGAGACTCAAACATTCACAAATCTTTTGAGTATTTTTTTCAGGCTTTCTCTGTGCTGACAACTCAACATTTACAAGGAACAAAAGTTTTAGCTTAGTTTTAATTCTTTATCTCCGGCAAGCAGCTCCCAGTGGCTCGCGGTCGGAATCACTGTGCCGGTCAGCCACTGAGAGCGGCTCGGGCACATTCCTTTTCGATGACTTTGACATCAAATTACTCTTCGGCAATTGTCAAAAACAGGTCTCTTAAACTGGAACTTCATTCATTAGATGAAGAACTATCAAAACAGGTTTGCTAGTTTCGATTTTATGACCCATTTCATGACATTTTTGTCATTTTTAGATTACCACCAAAAAAGGGCCCTGGCGTTGTGGGTTTACCCCCCTCGGAGATAAAGAGTTACTAAGAGTTTTACAGCACTTGCAACACAATTCTGTCATATATGAGTGCTGAAGATTATAGGTTTACTAAAGATTAACATACAGAGGAAAGAAAGGGTAGAGATAACGATGACAGATGTTTGATGAGAAAGACGGAGCAAAACACACCCGACCATCTGCAAGTCACCCTCAAGGATATATTTATACATTTCACCTCAAAGTAGGAATAAAACACTAAAGCTAACAGAGTGGCTATACCATATGGACGGCATTATTCTCTAACCGTAACTGTGAAGTGTATATGGAAGAAATAGATCCTTTTTAGATCTATACCCACTGCCACGGGCGATCTGAGGGTCCTCAATAAAAACCATGGGTCAGCATGGACTATAAATGGCATAAAAGTACTGTGGATTAGTTTTTTTGTTTTCTCTCATCGCATAAAACATAAGACTTATTTTCATCTTTGTTTGCTGAAAATTATTCCAAAAACCTGTTCTGTGATTGGATCATAGATAGCACCACTGGTATGCTGTGGCAAGAAGAGAAAGAGCCAATATATAATTCAGACAGACTGTTCTGTTTTACCATTCGAAACACCCAGTGAGAGCAGAAGGCTAACATGGGACACACCTCTATGCAGAAAAAAAACCCCAAACACCAGCCAAACAACAAAAACCAAACCCAAGAGCAGCATGCAGCCATTGACTACATGAAATGTTACCTGTGGTTTCAGAGGAACTGTAGCCAATCTTTTTCTTTCTTTTCGTCTTCAAACCACACACTGTGGAAGATACAAGGGGTATTGATTAGTTCTTTGCAAGTGTTTGTTCAGTACATAATTACTTTCTATCCAACTTTCCTTATGGCTTTGAACTTCATGTGAGAGAGAGAAAGAGAGAGCGAGAGAGAGAGAGAGAGACAGAGAGAGAGAGAGAGCAAGAGAGAGACAGAGAGAGAGACAGAGAGAGAGAGAGAGAAAGAGAGAGAGAGAGAGAGAGAGAGAGAGAGAGAGAGAGAGAGAGAGAGAGAGAGAGAGAGAGAGAGAGAGAGAGAGAGAGAGAGAGAAACGTACTTATCAGTGGTTCTCCACAGCATGTCTGTGTGTATGTTTGTAGTCAAACCTGCTTTTACGCACACCTGTATAAGACAATCACCTGTCCAAGATGGCCATCCAATGTAAGGAAAAAAATTTCCAATCTTAGACAGGTGGATGTCTTTCACAATATCATTTTATAAAGTTTTTTTAAAAATACAGGGAGTAAATAGGAAGTAGCTGTTTTTACAGGTGCTCACTAATTTTTGGACAAATGGAATTATTGGTGTCATCTAATAGCTTTTTCATTTATCTTAACTTTATTGAAAAAAATAACTATCTATCTTGAATAGAAGGAATTTGCAATTAAAGGAGATGGGGTTGCCCAGTATCAGAGATAAATTGTATATTTGCATATTTTTTGTGCAGGTATTTAAAAACAAAATTCTTCTTAGTTGTCAATAATAATGGACACAGTGAAAGACAGAAAAAAACAGGCAGAAAAAGTGAACAGCCAGTCTCCTGTGGGCACAAACTGTGAGACTCACAAAGGTTAGTCTTGGTCTTGGTCAGCTCTGGCTGGACATACGCTCCCCGTTTCTCCTGCAGCGTCCTCGATGGGATCAGGCCCACTGGGGCATCCGGTACTTCCGCTAGCTTAGCCTGAGAAAAAACAAAACGTAAGCGTTTTAATGCCTGCATTTGCATAATTAGTTACAATTTAGATCCTTTACGAGGTGTGCTTCAACCCTACCTGTCAGGGCCAATCCAGACTGAGAGGGGTACAATATCCCACGAGAGAAAGACCAAGATACACAATAAAAATTCTCTCCATTTGGAAATTGAACTTGGGTCTTCTGCGGGCAACAGCAAAGCACCCTAACCGCTACAACACAGATGCCAGTCAGCTTGAGAAAGGAAGACCTTTTACAAGTGAAGTATATGCATAGCAGCTCCCAGACTAGCAAATCCCCTTGTACAATCACCAAATCTAAAAAATATGCCAAATTTCTCATATTTTCTGAAAAAAAACATAAAATTTTCAGCCCCCAAGAACCAACAAACTGCAAACTGCCAAAATTCGGCAAAACTGCGAAGAGCTTTTTCAATTGACAAGCATTTTCTCAAACAGCCAAAGAAATCGTATTTGAAGGCGAATCTGCCAAATTTGCAACGCTGTACAATCATTTCCGTTAGCCCGCATCTAATAATCAACTTCCACTACAAGCAATTCGTTAACCAGGATCTCTAGGTTTATAATTGTTATAACTACCGGTGAGACTAAGTCATGTCACGAGTGCGTATTTTAACCAAAATACTAATATTTGCTTATTTTATGAAAATATGCGAAATTTATACTGGTTGGCAAGTCTAAACCCCCTCACGCCTCACACATCACGATGATCTTTACCAGCTGTTTTCTGTTCCAGAGAGACATAGGATGAACCCCATTGTGACTCTGCCAACCATTGTGACCCTGGATGTTGGGCATGCAGGTCAAGAAGTTCAAAATGGGGGCAGACCAACTTTACTCTTACTCCGAAATTTATATTAAAATATAAAGCTTATCTATAGTAAGGGATCCCCTTCTACAGAAGACTCATGGTTTTTCACAATAATTACCACAACCTGCCTGATTTAAATGTATGATTTCTACTTCTTGAAAAACCTCTTGGCTTGCTCAGGCAATCCAGGCATATTGCCCAGTGTGCCGTGATTTTTAACTCTTTATCTCCGAGGTGGGTAAACCTACTATGCTGTGTCTCTATTTTGGGGATAAATCTAATAATGACAAAAATGTCACTAAATGGGTCATTAAACCGAAACAAGAGAACCTATTTTGACTGTTCTTCATCTTATGAATGAACTCCTGGAAAAAGAGACCTGTTTTCGGCAAATGACGAAAAGTAATTTGATGTTGAAGCCGTTGAAAAGGAATGTGCCTGAGCCGATGCCAGAATCTCACTGAAAGCTGCTGGGAGTTGCTAGCAGGATATAGAAGTTAAAGGCTGTAGGCATCATCACTTAAAGTACCAAGTGATCCATCCATTCACAGAAAAATTACAATAAGTTCCTATGGACAAAAACGCATGCCACCTTTCCCCTTCCACAAACCAAATGTATGTCTCAGGGGGACACAGTGTAAGTCACTGCAGTACTGTCTTCCACAACGTAAAGACCACGGCTGGTTTTGTTTGAGTAAAGAGAAGCACATCAACATCATAATAGTCATTGTGTGAAGGGAAAAGAAAAGTTTATTTTAGTTTTAGTAAGGATTTTATGGCACTTGCAACACAATAAGGTCATACAACTGCCGAAGATTAGAAGTGTTAAGAGAGAGTAACAAACATAAAAAAGAGGTTCCAAGGACTACAAACGTTTAATCCAGAGAGTATCTTTCTTTGATTTTTAAGTCATTACTTACCTGCCACCAGTTCTCATCTGTGACGTCAACAACATCTAGAATGTCCCCTTCCCTGAAGGGGAGACCCGCCTTCTTGCATGGGATCAGTCTGTCTGCCATGGGATCATAGTTGAAACAGGCTTTCATAAATACCTAGATAGAAAAAAAAAGAAAACATATATTTCATAATACAGCATATGTTATTTATTATGTATGCTCACATCAAAACTCCTGGAAGAGACAACAGAGATAAACAACAATATAATCGTTGAATATATAAAATAATAAAATGTTTTTAGGATCTCGCCAATTCTTGGGCTAAGGAGCTAATGGTATCATCTTAAAATTTCTTCATTTTTATTGTTGTTGAGGAGATAAAATACCAGTCTACCTTGAATAGAAATTGTGACATTTGCCATTGAAGGATATGGGGCTCGCCTGATGTCAGAGGTAAAATTAACGAGAAAATGGCAGCTCAAGTTTGGTGATGCCTAAGCTAAAGTGTCACTTGACACTGCAAGGGGTGGGGGTGGAGGGAACTGTACATTAGACAGACATGTGAACGATGATATAACAAGGCTGGTTTTATGTATGGTTGGGCACCTACCAACTGATGAGTGAGATCCTTTTTTCAGAACAAACAAGAACAGGTAACTGAGCATGAGCTACATGGCCACAATCATCGAACATGAGTTGAGTACATAGTCAGGCATAATATATGTACGGTAATAAATATATCCTTTCTACCTCACAGATATTCCATTATCATGGGAAGTTCTGGAGCTTAACCCCCATAATAATCGAGGGAATAGTGTATACTAAATGGCGAACATATACCTCTCAACTATATGTACTGGTTTACAATTTTACAATGTAGCTTATCTAACGATGTACACTAAATGGTGAACATATATTATACCTCTCAACTATACTTACTGGTTTAGAATGTAGCTTATCTAACAATGTACACTAAATGGTGAACATATACCTCTCAACTATACTTACTGGTTTAGAATGTAGCTTATCTAACAATGTACACTAAATGGTGAACATATACCTCTCAACTATACTTACTGGTGTAGAACCTAGTTTATCTAACAATGTACACTAAATGGTGAACATATATTATACCTCTCAACTATACTTACTGGTTTAAAATGTGGTTTATCTAATGATGTATTCTAAATGGTGAACATATATAATACCTTTCAATGTACTTACTGGTTTAGAATGTAGTTTATCAGATGAGGACGGGACAATCTTGAATGTGATTGACTCCTCAGCCTCCTTGAGCACAATCATCATGTCCTCCGGCACAAAAACAGCGATGCCATTGACTTCCTTGATGATGTCCCCAACATGGAGAAGTTCTGACAACAACAATGTGTTGTGAGGATAAAATGAGTTTTTACATGAAAAAAAAAAGGTATAAAGAGGATAAAAGGTCCCATGAATCTGACACTCAGTTTAATTCAATAAAGCAATTTTAGAGACTAGACTTCAAGGGATGAGTCGTGTTATGCTAAATTTAAAACATTGACTTTTACGCACAATTTAATTCAAAAAGGTAATTTTTGAGATTAGACTCCATGTGCTGAGTGACATTATGATTATGCCAAATTCATAAATATTCATTTTCTCAGGGTGAGACTCTTAGAAGTCCATAAATGAGACGTTCGTTTAGTGGCAAGTTGAAACATTAGAGACTCATTTTGACATGTTCTAGACTCACTTTGTTTATCGGCTAAGCTGTCCTGGAGGATTCTGGCAATAACCAGCTCATTCATTTCATCCAGACGCACAGTGATACCCTGAGGAGGGAGGAGATGTTGAGATTTACATAAGAGTTTTATAGCACTTAAAATACAAATAGTCATATAAAGTGCAGATGATTAGAAGTGTCACTTGAGAGTTGTTTGTTTTTTTTAAGTTTGTTTGAGTAAAGAGAAGCACATAGGTACAATAATGGTCATTCACTGCTGAGGAAAAGCTAGACGGATAGACAGAAACAAGAGAGGGAAAGTAACTACTAGAGAGTAGCACACAAAACAAAGAAGGAGGAAGGATAATGATGACAGAAGTTTAAAAAGAAAAAAGGAACAAACCACGTCACAACACCCTAAACCACCCAAGGGAGGAAATGGTACATGGATATGATTCTTCTTCTTCCAGTGCTTTGTCTGAAACATACATAGGCCAGAATGATTTGCCAGTCATTTCTCTGCTTGAAGAATGTGATGACAGAGACACTGGCATTAACAAATATCCAATTCAAATAGTGAAAGGACCAGAAACAGACCTTAACTTCAGATCCAACTCTTCACTATATATTCTGAATCTTATCAAACCAGCTCATGAGACATCTAATTCCACATTACAAACACATAAGCTACCCACAATTGTGGTAATCCAGTCAAGCTCTTCCCTTCAAACACAAAAGACCACAGTTTGTACCTCTTATCCGGAAAATTTTTATTGAATATCTCAATTTGACTGCTGGGACATTGTATCCCTTTCAGCCAGGGCCCTGCATGCCAGATTCTTATCCTACCTCCTAAATGATCTAAACTGTGTCAATGGCGGAATAAAAAAGCACCAACAATAAATATTTAAAAAAATTTTTAAAGTTATTTTTTTTAAAAAGCAGCAAACTACCAATGGTTGTTTCCCGTTCTTCCTGATGGTGACGTATCGGTGCTGCTCCCCCACTGCCTCAAAGACAGGTGGGGGTGGACTGGCCAGGTCTAGGTCCTCGGGGAACACATCGTCATAAAGCTTTCGAGCTACGTCATCATGGCTGTAGATCAGAGACTGAAAAAAAAGAAACCAAAAAACCCAACACTTTAGAGGTTAGAAAAATATTTCCAATTTTCTGGGCGCATTCTGATGTAATGGCAAAGTTGAACAAACCCATAGACTAGAATTACAATATCCTAGACCATGATGAGATGGCCGCCGCTCTTTGTTCTCTATAAAAACTTTGCAGCCCTGGTGTGCACTATGGACACCCAAAAGAAAGGCAAAACACCAGGATGAAGTCAAGACTATGCACCCCCCCACCCCTTCATTTGGTTCCAAAATGAGTCAAATGTGCATTCCAGAATGCACTGGAGTTATGCCTTGGATGTTAAAATACAAGTCTATGGTTGAACCCCACATCAAAACAGTATACAGCAATGTTATACATTTTTGAAGGAAGGAGAAAAGTAAGTAAAAGCAAAACTGTTATAATCCAAATCCATGAGACAAAGTACATGGAACCGTGACTGTTGTCGACAGATGGCACACTTCATTTGTCCGAGTTGTTCCAAGACAGCTAACTATAAATTCACCCTAGAGGAACTGGTGTCAAGAAGAAACAGCTTGGTTCCAATCTTTCTTTCAGAGGTGCCAACTGGCTTATAAGAAAAATTCTGAACTTTTTAGATCCTGAGGAAAAACCTGCACAGGGACTAAAAATTTACTGATCCTTTTTATCTAATATCAAGACTTTTTGTAAAACGTGTAACAACAACTCAGTGATCAGTCAGGCAAAGTCCGGGCAGTTTCTGGAATCCGGATTTTTAAAATTTATCTGGAAATTTGACACCTCTATTTCTTTGACTTTATATATAAAATTATACTACTGCAAATAAACATTTCCATTCAATCGCAGTAACAAAAAGGAATAAGTCAGTTGTACCATGAAATGTGGATTTTCCAAAATATTCAGCAATTCTCTCCCTTTCTTGAAAGTCGACGCCTGAGCAGCGACGATGTCAATTGTGTCATGGAGAGTGTCACTGGCATTGTCGTCACGGGGACTGGGTAACTTGGAGGTCAAGAGGTCATGTATCTGAAAAGTGAGAGAGGATCATTCCATTAAGTCTGATGCTAGTTAAAACAGCCTAACCTTCTCTTACAAACAAAACAGATTCAATTAATAGCTGATGGAAATGACATAAAAGTCACAGAAAACCCATTTGAAAAATTCCCCCCCCCCCCAACCCCCCAAATGAATACCCAGCTGTCTATGCAATAAATTTCCTGACACTTATTTAAAGATATATATATATATCCATTTCACCATTTCACCATTTATCTTTCTCTGTCTCTGTCTCTGTCTCTCTCTCTCAGAACCTTTGAGAAAGCTCACAATAAGCATTTCTGTTTCTTTAGGGCATAGAATTTTGCTTGTACTGGAACACATGACACAGGGCAACACAAAACACGAATTCAAAATCTTCGCGAAAAAAAAGGCAAAATGAAAAAAAAAAAAAAAAGAAGGAAAAAAAAGCATGTGAAAAAACCCAGTGTACAATACCTCAGCCAAGGCTTGATACTCGGGATCCCCCAAGACTTCATTGAGCAAATCTAGCTCATCATGTGATGCTCCGATGTCTTCAAGGTCAGCCAAGAATTCACGGAGCTCCTCCATAGCATCTGAATTATATAATACAGATCTTTGTTGGTTTTTAAAAAAATGTTCATCTTTCAAAATCCTACAAAAGCAGAAAAGTGTTTCTGATATTTATAAGACTTTAATGGAAAACGACAGGCTAATGTAACCAGGCCCAGGAGAGATGACTTGTTATCTACATGTAACTGTCTCAAAAAGACATGATACGCTGCCATCATATTATTCATAAAAAGGATACGCACTATCATCATATGTCATACGAGAAACAGTTTGCAACAGTATGATGATACGCACTATCATTAGGCCTATACATTGTACACGAAACAGTTTGGAACAGCAAAAACTTCAGAAATCTGAGAAACAACCACAAAAGTGGCAACGTTTCAACGAGAAGACAGCATGAGATTGTGGGAGAAATAGGCAGTTAATTTTTTGTTGTTGTCCGTTTTTGGTTTGCCTTTTTTCCTTCTTTTTTGTGTGTATGTGTGTGTGTGTGTGTGTGTGTGTGTTGGGGGGGGGGGGGGAGTTATTACAAGTGCATACACAAACCCATTAAGATAAGATCACAATGAAAACTTTCTCCTGCTCAGATGTGACAAACTCGATGATCATTTAAATAAGTGTTTTAAGGCACTTGCAGCACAATCGGGTCATATAAGTAACAAATATTATAGGTTTTACAAGAGAGTAAAAAACAAAAAAAAGAAGGATTAGAGATTTATAAGGAAAACTGATGTTTGATAGGAAAAAAGGAGCAAACCACACCAGAGCACCCACAAACTCCCCACAAACTAGATGAAAAAAATGTAAATTCGAACCTACACTTGCACAAGTTAAATGCCTGCTAAACATAAGTCATTTCAAACTCGCATTTTGTCACTTGAGAGCAGACTACCCCAATTATGAAATCCAAATGAGAATGTCTACATTTCATTAAATTCACGAGCATGTGGAAATTAAGTTTTTAAATGCTCAAAGTGTGGTTAACATTTCTCTGTCAGAATCAGTCTCCTAATGCAGAAGCCCACAAGTCATTTTTATCCTTATTTCTTCTCTTTCGCTTAAAAATTATCCCTTTCTCCCCTGCAGATGCTTTGACCTTCGCCAGAGGTTGATGGATGAACTTTTATTATCATTATTATTATTATTATTACCATTGTTATTATTACATGTATTATTAAATTATCATTATTACTATATGTATTGTTGTTGATCTTCTTTTTCTTGTTTTTTTCTTCTACCTCTCCATCATCTCATAATTATTAATATTATAGTTATTATTATTATTGTCATCATCATTATTCTGGGAAGTTAGTTCCCTCTCAGCCCGCGTTGACCCTGACAGGCAGGGCCGGAAGCTTGTCTCCAAAATGATTTAATTTAATTGGGTCGATAGGGGCCTAAAAATATCTAAATCTTTCTTTTCTTGTGTGGTACCTTATTAAGCAACTTCCAATTATAGCCAAGATGGACCCCGAACAAGTTGAGGCTATAATTAATGCAGTGGAAAAGAGAAAAAGTATACGGCAAGACATTTCAAGACAAGCCCTGAATACAGCAACCGAATCTATACATCAATATCCTTACATTGGGAAATTGTAAAAACAATCACGACCACGGATTCAAAAGAGTGAAGATGTCACCCCTTCATAGGGAACGTCGGGGGAGGGGAGAGGCCTTCATTCTGTCGCCGAAAAGGAGAAGGGGAGAGGCTTGGGGCTAGCTCCAGAAAGGTGCAAGGAAGGTGGCTCTACTCTGTCTACACCTTTTTTTTTTTATAGTAGAGGGTTTTACGGCACTCGCAACTGCATAAGGTCATAGGAGCGCGCGGGACACACCTAATACTTTTAGTTGGTAGGAAATTTTTTATTTTGCCCGGGTGGCAGCCGAAGCCTACTCTTATTGATTTTAGACCACCAGGGGTTGGACATGTTCTGCGAAGAGAACCAGACTCTATTGTGAAGACTGCCCTCCACTGGACACCCGAAGGACGTCGCAAAAGGGGCAGACCCAAAGTAACCTGGAGACGCTCAGTAGAGTCTGAAATGAAGTCCTGGAATCATTCGTGGGGAACGCTGACCAAGATGGCCCAAAACAGACAGAGCTGGAGATCCTTTGTTGCTGCCCTAAACGCCAGATGGCGTAATGGGTAGTAAGTCAGTAAGTAGGGGATCTTTAAAGTGCGCAACTTGCACATAGGCCCTCCAAGATTTTTCTCCCTTGTCCGAGAAGGCTAGGTGTAGATCATTCCTACCAGAAGATCAGGGGTGTGGCAGAAAGACAGCTGTAAGAAGGAGTCAAGGAGTAGCAGTAGAAAGGCTGCAGAAAGAGTCAGGAGCCCAGAGGAGGTGGCAAAGGAAGTGAGGGGGTGGGGGCAGAAAGAGGAGACGAAAGCAGACGACAGAATATTGCTAGAGAGCAGGAAAGGATGTGAAAGTTGACA